CGGGCAGCAGCTCCCGCACCCCCGTCGCTAAGGAAGAGCCCCCCAGTGTCACCCGATTTAATGCTTCGGGCTATTTGGAGCAGCAGAATTTCTACCGGCCCGCCGGAAAGTGCTCGCCCACGCCACCGCCGGCCTTAAGCCCTCCGCGGCAGCTCGCCGCGCTGCTCGCGCACCTGCGGAGCAGCAATCCATTGCCTTTTAATTGCCACGTGGGCGGTACAGAAATGTTACCACTGAGACTTCCTATCGCCCTGAAATGGGAAAAAATCAAAACTACTGTTGAGCTAATAAATTGTTCCTATAAATTACTCTTTCAGCATCATAAAACTGGGTTCCTCTTAAGCCAAGCGGCTGGAGCAAACTGCGCTCCCCAGGAAAGGCAGCATGCGCGGGCCGCTGCTCCGCTGGTAGATGGTTTATGCAGATAGATTTATCTTGGAGACGCGGATCAACATTTATCGATATGATCATGGAAGTACCCGACGTGATGCCGCGCTGGGTCCCCGCTCCGTCCTCAGGGAAAGCTCCCCGCGGTGCCCGTAACGCCACCAGCCCTTCCCCAGAAGCTCTCGCGCTTCAGAGTCACCCCGGGTCCCCCTCGAAAGGAACCTGTCCCTTGTGTGGAGGTTGCGGGGGTCTTTCCGCTACCCGGGGCACAGGGAAAGGCGGCACAGGGCAGAGCACGGGCCGGGGGTTGGTGCCGGTGGAGGCAGGAAGAACCAGGGCAGAAGCTATGCAACAACGTCACATTACAAGCAGATTCTCACACCTAGATGATTAAAAGAAGGCACTCCCACAATTACATTGTTCATAGAAACACTTGTTCTTTACCTTCGTCATCATTTTCTTCTTCATCATCATCTTCTTGCAGTTCCAGAGTTTCTTTAGGCTTGTTTTCTTCGTCTTCTTCTTGTTTTCTTTTTTGTTCCTCTTTTTTCTTCTTTCTCTTTTCCTTTCTTTTTTCCCTTTTAGCTGCAAGGGCTTGTTTTCTGCTCTCCTCTCTTGACTATGTAGGAGAAAAGGACCCATATTTAAACATTTTCACACAGATTAAACTATACTTATAATTCAGATCTTCCCTAGAAATCTGGGTGGAGTGAGAAAGGAGAGAGTACAATGAACTAGAATGATTTTGTCACATAGTGAATCATTACGCAGAAACTGGGCAGACCTTCCTTATGTAACAACAGGACTAGTTGGTCCCAAAACTTCTAAGGAATGACAATGAAATAACAACAAAACCAGGTGTTATAAAAATATAATTTTACTGGGAAAAAAAAACAGCAAAATCTTTCATCATTTCAGTCCTTTCTCAAAAAAACATTTAATAACCTCATTTATATTTTTGCACCAATGTTCACGTCTTTGACTCAAAAAGATGTTCCAGGGTATTTTACAAAGAAAAATGCTATAATTTTAACCACTTTTTTTTAATTTATGGAATCAGTCAACTATGCTGTACTGTAGCTTTGCACAGCAACTGACAGGTGCTTAACAAGTCAGCAACCTGGAAAATTTCATAAACTAATATGGAACTTGTTCATCAAAAATTGTAAAAGCCTCCATTAAGAGAGCCCATGAAAGAGTGCTTAAGAATGTCTGCATTACTCTGGGACACTTCACAGTATTCTCCATGAGGAAGAAGTTGATTTTCCCTACCATCTGCACAACTCTGTGTAGCTCATCAGGCAGCTTGTAGGCTCACCTCTGTAACACTGAGTTGACGTCCATAAAATGTTTATGGACTACATCTTACACAATGTGCCGGCGGTGAAGCCCCCGGTCGATGCCCTCCGCCTCCCCCATGCAAATGCGTTTATGCAAAGTCCCCTCCGGGTAAATATTAAACGGGCCTTAATGAGGCAACCGGGGCCGGGGCGGCCCCGACCTTCGCCGGCGCACGCTGGGGCGGGCGGCGGGGCGAGGGGGGCAACCGGCGTTCATTAGATTTCATATTTAATGTGGAAAACGCTCTGATTACCGTATCGATTTCTTTACAGTTAATTTGGCGAGAATCTCTCGCCGGCTTCCCAAGCCTTCAGCTTAGCCGGGATTCGCGTTGGGAGGGAGAAAGAAGAAGAGGAGGGGAGAAAAAGAGATGCAACTATGATAAATAACGGTCAGGCGCGAGGCAAACACCGAGCAGCTCCGGAGGGACGGGCCGAGCCCTACCGTTCCCCCACCGACCCCGCTCCCCTCGCCCGTCTCCCCCC